GATCACTCTGGGGGCGACCCCGTGTTGCAGGTGAGGACACTGGGGCCGGCAGGGTCACCCCCACCACCATCACCAGGCTGAGGCCCAGCGCGCCTGCGCACTCAGGCTCTGGCTTCCCCTGCCGAGGAGGCGCAGATGTGCGAGGTTCGGGCGCCCTCTAGTGGCCATGTCCTGTAAGGCCCCTGCCAGCCTCTTCCCTGAAGTCCCTCAGGGGCCAGCGCCCAGGCACCCCATTTTTGCAAAGGGGACAACAGGTCTCTAAAAGGAAGCAGTCACTTTTATTCAGGGCCACGGGACACGGACATGGAATAACTGGAAGAACAGCCAGATTGGGTGCAAAAAATACACCACGAATCCTCCAGGGCTGTTGACATATGTCCCAGAGGTTCTGGTTTATTCAAACCCCAGGTCTTCTACTCCAGCTGGGTCATCTGTACGTCTGTCTGTCGTAGGGGACTCTGTAAGGGATGAGCATGTGCCCTGAGGCTCATGTGCTGGAAGCTTGGCCCCCAGGATGGTGGAATTGAGGTGGTGGGCCTTTAAGAGGCGGGGCCTAGGGAGAGGTGGTTAGGTCATGGGGCTCCACCCTCAGGAAGGGTCAGAGCTGACCTGGTGGAAGGGGAGTGATCTTTCCAGACCAGGTTTTGGGGTCTTTTGTTTGGGGTTTGGGCTTTGGTTCTGGGAATTGAACCCAGGGGTGATTATCACTGAGCCCCCCCCATCCCCAGCCCCTTTTTATTTTTTTTTAAATTTTGTGACAGGGTCTCGCTAAGTCACCCAGGGTCTCCCTGTGACACCAGATTGCTATCCAGCAGCCCACCCCATCTGCATTCTGTCGCTTCCCTTTGTGCTTCTGACACAGCCCCAGGGGCCCTCACCAGGATGCCAGTGGCATGTCCTTTAGACTCATCCAGCTACATAAACCTTTTTACTTTATAAAGCTCCCGACCTCAGGCATTTTGTTATAGCAACAGAGAAAAGAGAGCGACAGGGCCGGCCTGCTGGGTTGGTTCTCTGCTAGGCCACAGATGGGCAGAGTCCCTACCATCAGACACCCTTAAACACAAAGACACACGGAGACACAGCCCAAAATGGCTCTCCGTTTCCCTGTCCTGGGTGTGCACAGACCCACGCTGTAGCTCAGGCCTCAGTCTACAGATGGCTTCTTTTTAGCCGAGTCCAATTCAAAGTGTCCCTAGCCAGGCATGATGGCACACGCCTGTCATCCCAATGGCTCAGGAGGCTGAGGCAGGAGGATCGCAGAGTGGAGGCCAGCCTCAGAAACTCAGCAAGGCTCTAAGCAACTCAGCGAGACTCTGTCTCTAAATAAAATATTTAAAAAAGGGCTGGGGACGGGGCTTAGGGGTGAAGCACCCCTGGTTTCCATCCCTGATACCCTCCCCCCAAAAGAAGGACCCCTGGGCTCCCTGCAGTGCTGGTGGGTGGAGGTCGGGCCTCCCCTGGAACCCACTGCACACTCAGCCCCTGACTTCTCCACCCCAGGCCTCTGCAAGGTTCACCAGCTCCAGGTCCCCAGCCTCGTGGCGGAAGGAGGGCAAGCGGGAGGGGGGGGGCTCTCTCCTTCAGCTACAGCTGCTTCTAGAACTCTGTCTGCGTTGGTGGCCCCAGAGGCCCCGGCCTCCAGGGGAAGGTCCAGAGGGGCCGCAGCCGGAACTAAGACTTTGGAAACAGCCCTGGAGAAAAGCCCGAGCAAGTCCTGAGTCTTCAGTGGATAAGTCAGAAACCCAGAGCCTGGGTGTGTGGGTGTGGCCATGCCCTGGTGCACAGGTTGTGGACTGCGTAAGAGTCCTGGGGCCACCAGGAGCCAGGTGTGGGCAGAGGAAGCCGGAAACTGAATGAGTGGGTCCTGGAGGGACGGCAAGGCCATGAAATGGGACTTTCGCAGCCACCAGGCCTGGGGTGGGGAAGAGGCCAAGGAACAAGAAAGGGAAAGATGTCAGGCCCTCCCCTGCTCTTCAGACGACGAACTCCGTGTATCACATCACCCCATTTTTTATCAATTTAAATTTAAATTATTTTAGTGTCTTGTCTTTTCTAAATGTCACACCAGACTTTTTCTGGGCACCAGGGATTGAACCCAGGGGTGCTTAACCGCTGAGCCCCATCCCCAGCCCTTTTTGAGTTTTATTGAGAGACAGGGTCTCCCTGAGTTGCTGAGGCTGGCCTCCACCTTGCGATCCTCCTGCCTCAGCCTCCCGAGGTGCTGGGATGACAGGCGTGTGCCACCGTCCCTGGCTAAAGTCCTGTTTACAAGCCACCCAGTCTTTGGGGATTGGTTGTTAAACAGCCATCCTCTCCCAAATCTGCCCAGGGAGGGGACAGAGGCCCCCTAGATCTCAGGCCACCCGGTCCCCAGGAACCAGGCCCATCTCCAAAATGGCGCCGGGGCCTGGTCCAAGGCAGAGGCTCCTGCAGAGGCCATAAGCCCTGGGGGGACACCCGGGGGCGTTTCCTGTCTAAGCCTGTGGCCCCCCAACCGCTGGCAGGGCGGGTTTCCGGCGGGGGCTGCGGCCAGGCCTGCGCTATCAGCTCGGCACCAGACGCCCCGGTCAGGATACTTGTGGTGAAACTGTGAGAGCCCACTGATCCTCCCCATGTCAGCCTCCAAGACAAATGTAAGTGGGAACATGTCACCCGGCCCTTCTGGAGCCCTCTGAGCCACAGGCCAGGGCTGCAGGCAGATGTCCAGGACTGAGCCCTGCCACCCAACCACCTATGGCTACAGGGACATCCACTGAGTAGGCCACTGGGGTCCTTCCCACATCTTGGAGGCCAGGGCTTAGGGATGGAGGCTACCCTGGGGATCTGAGCCGAGGTGAGGGAGAGGGGACCAGGTCACCCCTCTTCACTCAGGGTGAAGGCCACGGGAGAGGGGACGCTGGGTCCAAAAACCAAACGGGAGCCAGGGGGGGCAGGGGTGCACGCCTGTCATCCCAGCAGCTTGGGAGGCTGAGGCAGGAGGATCGCAAGGTGGAGGCCAGCCTCAGCCAAAGTGAGGCCCTGAGCACCTCAGCGAGACCCTGTGTCTCCATAAAATAGAAAAAAGGGCTGGGGACGGGGCTCAGGGGTGAAGCACCCCTGGGTTCAATCCCAGGTAAAGAAAGAAAAAGGGGGAGGTGTTGGGGTCAAGGGCATGTCACCCTGCAATAGAGGGATGCCGCCCCTTCATGGATTTACAAGGGGAAACTGAGGCCATGTTTACTACTGGGGAAATCAAGTGCCCAGAAAAGTTGGGGTGCACACACCCTGACCCTAAGTGGCAGAGCGCTCAGGATGCAGGAGGCAGGGCTGGGGAGGGGTGCAGGGGACCCCACTTGCGACGCCCCCCCTAGGATGCTGGGGGGCACCCACTTTGGCTAGCCCTGTGGCCTCCCCGTGGCCTCCACAAGGCAAATCTGAGAACCCAAGGTCCTATGACTCTTTTGCACCTTGCACACAGGCTCCCCGCGACCCCAGACCCAGTTTTAGTTCGAGTCGGGGCGGCCATTCCACGCCTGCACCTCTAGGTGGCGCTACAGCCAGGGAATTGGCTTGGAGGGAAGCTGGGACTGGCTTGACTGTCGGCGCGGCCGCACGCATGCGCGACTTTTCTAGCCCGTCTGCGCCTGCGTGTTCAGCCTTCCTGCTGGGCGCCACCTAGTGGCGGGCGGATGATTTGCAAAGAGACTCCAGAGCGCAGGCGCAGCTCGCACCCGGGGCCTGCGAGCCTCCCGTTGGTCCAGCAGAGGGCGCTCGCCAGCCACCTCGCAGGCGGAGCAATGGTGACTGTCAACCTAGGAAGCAGGGACATCGTTCCGATTTTGGTTTTGCACTAGGGATTGAACCCGGGGACACTCGACCCCAGAGCCCCGTCCCCAGCCCTATTTTGTATTTTATTGAGAGACAGGGTCTCCCTGAGTTGTTCAGGGCCTCACTTTGGCTGAGGCCGGCTTTGAACTTGAGATCCTCCTGCCTCAGCCTCCCGAGAGGCTGGGAACACACGCATGCGCTACCACACCCGCCCCCCAAACTTTTTTTTGGAGGGGGAGGGGTGTATGTGAGAAAGAGAGAGATGGTCTCGCTAAGTTACCAGGCTGGCCTCCAACTTGTGATCCTCCTGCCCCAGCCTCCCCACCCACCCAAAGCCTTCTTCCGGGTTTACTGATCACAGATTCCAGAGGTGGAGGGTGGCGTGGAGGAGACGGACAGAGTCACACAGGACTTACTGAGCCTTCCTTTCCAGTTACCTGAAGGATAAGCAGGAAGTGGGTGGGGTTAACCCCAGGTAGAGAGAGGAGAGGAGAGAGCATGACAGTCACTTGGCACCGTCAGTCTCTCTGCCCAACGTCCTCAGCTCCATCCATCCTTGCCAAAAATTCCAGCTTTTGCCTGGATGGTCACAACAGGCTCTGGGTCTCTGTCCCACCAACCTTTGGGCTTCAGTGTGTCATCAGCCAGAATATAACCCTAAGCGTGTGTCCCCTGGGCCTGGTCCTCCTGATTCTAAGGGGAAGCCCTGGGGCACTCTGGGATCCTCTGCTGCCCTCTACCTCATCTTGTGGACGCCATCAGGTCTGAAAGCCCCAACGTGTCCCAGGGCCTTTGCACCTGCCCAGAGCCCACTATCCTTCCACCTGCCTCTCCTACGGGGGTCATCGCTCCTTTAGGGAAACCTTCCCTCCCTCCTAGTACTCCCTGGACACCTTCCTCACAGGGCAGTCACTTTGTGACTACGAGTTGGGTCATTTGACTGACAACTGTCTCTAGGAACCATCTCTGGCTGGGTGCACTGGTACAGGCCTATAATCCCAGCGACTCTGGAGGCTGAGGCAGGAGGATCCCAAGGTGGAGGCCAGCCTCAGCAATTTGGTGCATCACTAAGCAACTCAGTGAGACCCTGGGGGCTCAGGGGTTCAGCACCATCACTGCTTCCTTAATGCTGAATAGAACACCACGCCCAACCACCACTGAGAAGGCCTTTTGTTCAAAACACAAACATGTTCCGGGTTTAATAAGATTCTTTTGAAAGTTTAAAAAAAAAAGAAAAAGGAGCAATTTAGGGACAGGGGACAGCCTCTTGCAGTGCCTGAGGCAGAGCCCGCTTCTCTTCCCTGAAGACCTTTAGCAATTACAGCTGGCGGCCTCTTCGAGGCCGGTCCTCAGCCTCCCTCCCCAGCCTCCACCCGCCCGGGCTCGGGGCAGCAGGGCTACAGGGCGTCCAGGATGTGGTCGATCTTGGTGACCAGCTCCTGACGCTTCCCTGAGATGAGCTTCTCGTTCTCGATGTAGGTGTCCTTCTTGAGCTTGCCGGCCACCAGCCGCTCGGCCTCCACGGCCGACTTGAGGACCAGCTCCTTGACCTGCGCGTCCAGCTTCTGCATCTCGCTCACCTGGGGGGGGAGGGTGACAGCAGGACAGGGTCACCACTTCCTGGGCCCAGAGCCAGAGCTCTGGAAGGAGGAGCCACGAGCTGGTGAGTGTGGCCGCTCTCCCCCAGGCGGGCCTGCATGTGCAAAGGCCCTGGGGCAGGTTGGGGCTTTCAGACCTGAACAGAGGGGCAGGCTGTGGAGGTCAGCGGGCCTCCTTCACCTCCTCACAAAACCCAGCAAGCACCAGGCGCCGTGGCCACGCCTGTCATCCCAGCAGCTCGGGAGGCCGAGGCAGGAGGATCCCAAGTTGGAGGCCAGCCTCAGCAACTCAGCGAGACCCCGTCTCTAAATAAAATATGCCCCTCGGGGTCCCTGACCACCCAGTCCTCTCCCGGGAATCCCAGTCCTGGGATCATTGTCCTCATGCGCCCGGGACTCTCAGAAACACGAGATCCCATGTTTATCACGTGTCACCTTCACGAGGACACTGCACCTGGCCCTGGGGCCCCTGACACTGCTGAATGTCAAGCCGAGTGACTCTGCTTTCCTGACACTTGGCAGGGGATGTCCCCCCAGCCCTTGGTGGTGTCCAGCTGAACTCCTGGACCTCGCTGGGCAAGCGGCAGGAAGGAGGGACACCGAGTGGGTGTCCTCCGTGTGCCAGGGGACCTGCCAGAAGCTTCCACGTGGCTTCACCCTGGGTCCTCAGATGAGGCTTGCTGTGCATTTTGGTTCCTGGGGACAGAACTAGGGGGCAGTTCACCACAGAGCCCCGTCCCCAGCCCTTTCTGTATTTAGAGACAGGGTCTCACTGAGTTGTGGAGGCCGGCCTCCAACTTGTGATCCTCCTGCCTCGGCCTCCCAAGCGGCTGGGAGTGCCCTGAGCCTGGCTCACCTCTGGGTTCTCGGCCACAAGCACAGACAGCGCTAGAGAGGCCGCAGAGGTCCCCCCAGGCCCGCTCACCACCAAGACCCGGCTTCCCATGTCCCCAGCCGCTGCGCCATCACCCCAGATGGACGGTGGAAGGATCCCGAGGGACACTCACTCGGTCGCAGAGGTCGGAGCCCTCGGTCTTCAGGCGGGACTGCAGCAGGGCGATCTCGCTGCTCAGGGCTTTGTGCTCCGTCTCTAGGCCCTTCTTGCCGCTGTTGAGCGTGGACACGTCGCGCGACTGCTTGTACCTGTTGATGGTCTCGTCGAAGTGGCGGTAGAGGCCCAGCCTCTTGTTCACCAGGCTCAGGACCTGCTCCGTGATGCAGGCCACCTTCATCCTGGCCTCCGCAGCCGGGTCCTGCAGCAGGGGACAGGGGCTCCTGACCACCCAGACCTGAGCTCCCAGGGATGCCCACGGCCCCCGCCATTCAGGCAAGAGTCGCGCACAGGACACGGACAGGGAAGGGCCGGGGCTGAGTGGCACAGCGCTGGCCTGGCTCGTGGGAGGCCCTGGGTTCCAATCTTAGCATCATGTGACAATAAATAAAAATCAAGGCCTTCAAGTCAAATCTAGGACGTTAAAAGAATCTTCTTAAACAGACTCAGCCGGGCCTGGTGGCCACGCCTGGGAGCCCAACCCCTGTGGAGGCTGAGGCAGGAGGATCCCAATTTGGAGGCCGGCCTCAGCCACTGAGGAGCGGCCAGGTACCTTGGTGATGGAGAAGTCGAGGCGCACGTAGATGATGACGGTGAAGAAGAGGACGTAGAAGGCGGCCACCACCAGCAGGGGCTCCTGCAGCATCAGCACCTTGTTGAAGGTGTAGTGCACCTGGGGGGACAGGGCACAGGGACCTGGCTCAGGGCTGCGGCCAGGGGTCCCGGATGCAGGCCCGCCCGGGGGGGGGGGGGGGGAGCGGCCGCACTCACCACGAGGTCCTGGATGTGCTGTTCCACCAGGTTCTTCTTGTGGGCGACGATCACGGGGCGGCCGAAGGTGTCCAGGTAGGTGTAGTGCAGCTCATCCGGGGCCCGGCTGATCTCGTAGGGACTGTCCACCTGGATGTTCCTGGGGGCAGATGGGGACACGACAGAGCCTCACACCAATGGCCCTGAGGGGGGAGGTGGCCAAGAAGTCCGAGGCCAAGGGAGCCAGGGCAGTGGCCCATGCCAGGATCCCAGCAACTCAGGAGGCTGAGGCAGGAGGATCATGAGTTGGAGGCCAGCCTCACCAACTCAGTGAGAATCTGTCTCTAAAAGGGCTGGGGATGGGGCTCAGGGGTTAAGCACCCTGGGTTCAATCCCTGAAATCAAAGAGAAAGAAAATCACTACCTGTGCCCTCCCGCCCCCTGCCCGCCTTTGGACCCCTGGGAACATCTGCCATTCGGAGATGGCTGACCTGTCACCAGAAGCCTAGTCTGAGGCCACACTCATGCCTGGGCAGCAGAGGACCCTCAAGGGCTCATGGTACCAGCCCCGCCAGGTCACGGGCTCCAGCTCCCAGCACATCCACCCACGAGAGCCACTCAGGGACCTGGGGGCCTCAGGAGCTACTACAGGAATGACGGCGTCGTCTTTTATTTCTTAAAATTTTCTGTGGTTGTACTTGTTTATTTTCATGGGGGGCTGAGGATGGAGCCCAGGGCCTCACCCGTGCCAGGCCAGCACTCTGCCACCGAGCCCCCAGCCCCAGCCCTTTTTATCTTTCATTTAGAGACAGGGTCTTGCTAAGTGGCTGAGGCTGGCCTCCAAATCAGGATCCTCCTGCCTCAGCCTCCCAAGTTGCTGGGATGACAGGCATGGGCCACGGTGCCCGGCTCTCAGTTCTTAACCCTGGGTTCCCATGCCAGCTGGGTGCCAGGTGACAGTTCTAACTGGCTATTTCGACCTTCACTATGGTCCTGTTCATCCTGAAGAAACTCCCTCACAGTAAATCCTTCTGATAGTCAGACCTATATAAAGGACGTGCAGAGCTTGTTCGGGGTCCCTGCTCCCCATCAGGGCTGCGGGTGCCCGCTGAGCCCCGGCTGACTCTCTATTCGTGTCTGTCCCCTCCAGACGCCCTCGCTGCCCGCTCAGGACCTGAACAGAGCGTCCTGTGGGACGTGGCGTGAGCGTCACTCAGCAGAGACAGGTTTCTGGGTCAAAGCTGTTCGATGAGCACCTACTCTGTGCCGTGGTTTAGGCACCAGGGGGAGCCGGAAGGAGGCGGGTGTCAGGGGGACGGGGCACTCACTTGGCGCCCTCGGGAAGGATGATCTTCACCGTCAGGGAGTCGATCACCTGCTCATCGAACACGTGGTCCACGAACCTCATCTTGAGAGCGTACTGGTCACCTGGGGGACAGAGCGACCACAGCAGGGCCTGAGCCACAGGAGGGGCCAGCAGGGGGCCAGCAGGGGGTGTGGCCGCCCTCCTGCTCCACAGAAGGCAGAGAAGCCTGTGTCAAGGCGCGGTGATGCGGAGGCACAGGGGTGAATGAACCCGATACTGAAGCAGGGGTCTGAGACGGGGCCAAGGCCACCCCAAACCAAGCCTCCTACTGCAAGGAGCAACAGAAAAGGGCCAGGTGCCTTCGTCCTGAGAGAAGTTACGCAAGGAACACGTTAGCCAGGAGTGGGGGTGTGTGTCTATGACCCCAGTGGCTCAGAGGCTGAGGCAGGAGGATCGCAAGGTGGAGGCCGGCCTCAACCCTAAGCAACTCAGCGAAACCCTGTGTCTAAATAAAATAGAAAAAGGGCTGGGGACGGGGCTCAGGGGATAAGCACCAATGCCCAACATGAAAAGGAAAAAGAGTCGCTCCTGCTACCCAGCCTTCCTGACGATGGAGGACGTTCTTTCCCCATCTGGGACAGGTTAAAAACAGGAACAATGATCGAAAGAAATCAGTTCGTGCCTTATTATGGGAACGACTCTGAACACTGACCCAAGTTGTAGAGGTACTCGTAGCTCGGGAGGTTGTAGCCCACGATGTAGTGGGTCTTCCATCCTCCAAAGAGGGGGAAGCGAGGCCGGATCTCCATCTCCACAGAGTCGTCCAGGATGAGGAGGTGGCTGGTGGACACGTTGCCGATCTCATCCCGGTAGTACACGTCCTGGGCGGCAGCGGGGAGGATGGTCTGCAGGGGAGGAGACAGCCCTGCTCAACACTCCAGAGGAGTGCTCTGAACCTCAGGATCGTCTTCGGGACCAAGATCTTCACTAGTACTTACTTCAACAGCCCCAAACCATCAACAGCCGTAAGGAGTCTGACTCCCCACCCCCCCAAAGCTTCGAGATTTCTAGAAATTGCATCTACTTCTCAATCTACAATGCTAAATAAACAAATTCTTCTAAAACAGGAAATAAAGCAGATTTGGAGGTGGGTACGGTGGCCCCGCCTGTCATCCCAGCGGCTTGGGAGGCTGAGGCAGGAGGATCGCAAGGTGGAGGCCAGCCTCAGCCACTTAGCAAGGTCCTCAGCAACCTGGCAAGATTCTGTCTCTAAATAAAATAGAAAAAGGACCAGAGATGTGGCTCAGTGGGTAAGCACCTCTGGGGTTCAATACCCAGTAGCAAAAATAATAATAATAATAATAATAATTCATAATAATAATCTTACTATAATTATTTTCCAAAGAGATAGAAATTAGACGTAAAAGAAATGACAATAAATTACTAGGTGTAAGGTCTTGGAAGGGATTTCTTCTTCTAATATTCTTATTTTATGATGCAAATCTGCAAGTATATTTTAATAATGGGGGAGGGGGAATATCACACCTTTGTTCTCGAGGGGGGGGTCCCTGTACAATATTTAAGTTTATAAAAATGTTTTTAAGGGGCTGGGGTTGTGGCTCAGCAGTAGAGCGCTCGCCTAGCTCATGCGAGGCCCTGGGTTCGATCCTTAGCACCACATAAAAATAAGTAAATAAAGATATTGTGTCCCACTAAAAAATAAATATTAAAAAAATAATAATAATAAAATAGAAGTATTGTGCCCACAGACAAGTAAAACATAAATATATATGTGTATATACACACACACACGTATATTTTGAGAAAAAGAAAAAACAGAGACATGTAAACCGTCAGCACAATACTGTGTGGACAGTGGTACAGTCACAGTGTCCTCCTATGTCACAGATTCCTTAGAAAACATGGTCATTTACATAAATGGCTTCTAACACTGTCACTCGGCTACTTGAGCATAGTCACTTTCTCTCTTTTTTTTTTGGTACTGGGGATTGAGCCCAGGGGTGCTCAACCACAGAGCCCCGTCCCCAGCCCTTTTCATTTTTAGAAAGATCTAAGTGGCTGAGGCTGGCCTCCACCTTGCGATCCTCCTGCCTCAGCCTCCCCAGCCGCTGGGATGACAGGCGTGGGCCACTGCGCCCCCCAATTTCCAACAACTGTATTTGTCTAGTTTCCAAAAGCCACAGGAAGGCGGACACAATGACATCAGCCTCTCCTGGTGTCCCAGGGGGCCCTTCAGACCTTAAAGGAGCGGATGGAGGATATGCCGCTGTCGGGCTGCCTCTGGTAGTCGTAGCGGGAGAAGGGCCCCTTGAGCACGGCGCCCGTGTGCTTGAGGTCCACGTTCTCCTCCACGGCGATGTTCCCCCAGTGGGAGACCTCGATGACCCGGGTCATGCTGGTGATGGTCAGGAACGGGTTGTTGTTCTCGTAGTGGACTTTGAAAGGATCCTGGGCGGGAAGGGAACCAGGATCAAGGTTCTGGCAATGCCAACACCCACACAGCACAGATGACTGGGGACCTTCTGGAACGCTCTACCACGGAGCACTGTGCCCCTGCCCCTTAAGACAGGGTCTCGCTAAGTTGCTGAGGGTCTCACTAAATTCCCGAGGCTGGCCTCCAACTTGAGATCCTCCTGCCTCAGCCTCCCAAATTGCTGGGATGACAGGCGCACGTCACAGCATTTAGTGAATTATGACGTAGGTAATGGATGCGACGTTTTAAAATGTGTACTGGGACTTTTTGTTAGAAATAAATGTTCGCAATATTGTTATTAATTGGAAAAATGATACCCTAAATCACTTAAGTTCCAATGTAAATATCATTTGACTTTTTTTTTTTTTTTTAGTTTTGGTCCCAGGGATTGAACCCAGGGGTGCTTAACCCCTGAGCCCCGTCCCCAGCCCTTTTTTATATTTTATTTAGAGACAGGGTCTTGCTGAGTTGCTCAGGGCCTAAGTGGGTGAGGCTGGCCTCCAACTTGCGATCCTCCTGCCTCAGCCTCCAGGGCCCCTGGGATGACAATCGTGTGCCACCACATGCAACCAAAGGAATTGTTAATATTTAAAACATCCTCGCTTTTTTAGAAATGATGTGGAGGTAAAATGACCTGCAGTCACTCCAAATGATATCACAGATGACCCCCGATGTGTGCTCTAAGATATTCCAGCAAAGAAGACTTTTTCGCACATTTAAAATTTTTCAAAATAACAAGAGCTTCTTCAGCCTGACCTGCTTCCTCTTGTCGGAGTCCCAGCCCCAAGGCCTCAGCCACCACAGCCACCGCATGAGATTCCCTGTGGCCTCTGTTCCTCCAGTCCTCCTACCCAGTATGCCTCGCTTCCTCGGCCAGCCCCATTTCCACTCCCCAGTGCCATCCCTAGCCTCCATCCGTGCTGTCAAAAGGAGACATGGACTCTGACAGGTCACTTCACAGGAAGTGAAAAACTCTGGGGAAGATCTAACCAGTGATTTCAGATTTCCATCCACCCCCTACGAACAGTCCCTGTGGGAGGGGTCTGCTTCACTGAGCCTTGGGTTCCTGGGACTGCGCTCAGTGTAGAGGCACTGGGTTCGAGTCTCAGCACCGCATATAAATAAATGATTAATAAAGTTCCATCAACAAGTAAAAAAAATTTTAAAAAAAGCACAAATTAAGAGCTTGGAATGGTGGTGCGTGCCTAGAATCCGAACAGCTCTGGAGGCCGAGGCAGGAGGATCTCAAGTTAGAGGCCAGCCTCATAAACTTAGCGAGGCCCTGAGCAACTCAGCGAGACCCTGTCTCTAAAGGAGGCCTGAGGAGGCCCCAGCTCCCAAATCTAACCTTCCCACAGCCACACCGGGGCCTCCTCCTGGGGGACACCTCCCCTCCGAGCCTTGGTCTGAGGTGGGCAGAGCAGGGCTGGGTGACCCACCTGACTGTAGGCAGGAACGTTCTGGAAAGGCCCGTAGTCCAGCACGTCCTCCGAGCGCGTGGGGCTGCCTAGCTTGGTGTAGCTCTCCACGTTGCGCGAGGCCAGCTTGACGCGCATGGTCTGGGTCTTGGTGGGGTAGGGGGAGTAGAAATAATGGTTGCCCTCGAACACCACCAGCTGTTTCTCCGACTGGGTGATCTGCGTCGGGTAGGGCTGAAGCACGTGGGTGTACACGGTCTCCACGACGAGGGAGATCTTGGCCCCGGGGTCAAGGGCGACGGGGAGCTTGACCAGGAAGAATCTCCCGCTGGAAGAAAAAAGAAGCCAAAAGATGAAGGTCGCCTGGTAGGTGGCCACGCCCAGCAGCTCGGGAGGCTGAGGCAGGAGGATTGCAAGGTGGAGGCCAGCCTCCGCAAAAGTGCAAAAGCCCTCAGCCACTTAGGGAGACCCTGTCTCTAAAGAAAATATAAAAAGGGGCTGGGGACAGGGCTCAGGGGTGAAGCACCCCTGGGTTCCATCCCCAGGAATCTCCCCAAAAAGAAATGGGTCTCAAACATTTTGAGCTTACCTTTTGCCCTTAATTTTGGTTTCCCGGACTTCTAGATTGTTCTCTTCCTCCTCTTCTCCCTTTACCTAGAACAGGAAAAAAAAGGTCATTCTTTCCTGTCTTTTGGTTTTTAAAATTTTCAATCGACAACTGACCAACAACCCCAGAACGTCCACCATGACGTATTCAAACTTTTGAAAGGTAGAAGTTCGTGTCAGGAGAGGTTTTTTTGGGGGCTGAGCTGGGGATGGAGCCCGGCGCCTCCCACACCAGCAAGTGTCCTCCCACTGAGCTGCACCCCAGCCCCAGGGTTTCTTTTTTCAACCTGAAACGTAGCACTTTCCAAAAGTTCCAACGTTTCCTTCCTGACATTCAACTATGCAGAGGCACAGAAAATAAATAGCATTTTAATGAGGTAATAGATACGACCCAGGGGCCCTCCACCCCTGAGCCCCGTCCCCAGCCCCTTTTTCTATTTTATTTAGAGACAGGGTCTCGCTGAGTGGCTGAGGGCCTCGCTAAGTGGCTGAGGCTGGCCTCCACTTTGCGATCCTCCTGCCTCAGCCTCCTGAGCGGTTGGGATGACAGGTGGGCACCACTGTGTCTAGCAACTGCAGGTCTCATATCCCCAAACGGGCCTACCTCACAGCCACCAAGGCAGTCAAAGGTAACCACAGAGGTCCAGGGTAAAAGTACAGCCCTGACCTACCCCTCACCGTGAGACCTCGTGTGCGCTGTTAAACACGGTCCCAGACTTCGGACTTCTCACCTGCCACAGAACACCTGCACCTCAAAAGTGAGAATGTACTTTAAACACCTAATGCAAATTCAAAAGGGACAAAAGGAAAACGAAAAATAAAGAAGCTTTTGGAGGCTCTGAATGGTGATCATTGTAACTCCATGTGACATCAGTGCAGAGCCACCAAACTGCATGACCTCTCTACAGCTTTTGATTTTTTTTTTTTTTTAGTTCTCGATGGACCTTTATTTTTTTTATTTGCTTATTTATATGTGGTGCAAGGAACTGAACCCCGACTTACGAGGGCAAGTGCGCTACCACTGAGCTACAACTCCAGCCCCAACCTGCAGCTTTTTATATACAAATTATATTTTAAACAAAGATTGGGGGGTTGGCGGGGCTGGGGTTGGGGCTCAGTATGTGTGAGGCCCTGGGTTTGACCCTCAGCACCACATAAAAAAAATAGATAAATAAAATAAAGATACTGTGTCCAACTACAGCTAAAAAAAATAAATATTAAAAAAAAAGAAGGCAACCATTAACTAAAAAAATAAAAATAAAAAGCTTGGGAGAATACATTTTAAAAGCAAGACATGAATTAAGTAGAGCCACCCAGCCTGTCATCGCTCTCCAACTGGATGACAGGAGGGCGGGTCTCCCGCTGTGATCTATTGATACTGTGACATCATGAAACCATGGCTGGCTTTCCTTAAAAAGAATGTTTTCTTTTTTTTAATTTAAAAAAAAAAATGAATAAAAGAATGAGGTTGGACATTCGAGTCCTTTAACTTGAGTGGGAGCGCAAGCTGAAGTCTGGAGCCATCTTTGCAGAAGAAACCCCTGAGGGACACTGCGCTGCGGGGCCACACCTGGAGTCCCAGCCAGGTGGGAGGCCGAGATGGGAGGATCGCAAGGTAGAGGCCAGCCTCCACAACTCAACAGAAAATCCTGGGCAATTGCACAGGACCCCCGGGCGTGGGGCTCGCAAAGGGGTGCGACCTTGGGTCCCAGGCCCCTGCCATCTCTCCGCCTGTCGCGCCCGAGGACCGGGGAGTACCCAGGCTGGACCCGAAGGGGAGGAAACGGGCTGCGTGGGGTCCACTCGGGCCGCCGCCTCGAGGCCCGCGGTCAGCCTGCGGGGACTCCCAGGGGAGGCCGAGCGCCAGGCGCCGAGGTCACCCGAGGAGCCGCCCACGAGGCGCGTGATGACGTGGCCCCGGCGGTGGGGACCCGGGGACCCCGCCGGGCGGGAGCAGCGCGTCCGCTCTCACCTGCACGCCCAGGTGCGCCAGCCGGGCCTCCAGTTCCGGCTCCAGGGCCAGGACCAACGAGGTGACCCGCGACGAGGAGCCGCCCGCGTGCGCCAGGACCAGCTCGGCCGTCACCTTGGCCAGGTGGCTGCTCAGGTCCACCGTGCGCAGCACTTCCTCGTTCACCAGCGGCTGGGCCTCCGGGGAGGCGCCGCCCGGAGCTGGGGCCCAGGCCCCGAGCCACAGGAGCAGAAGCAGGCAGGTGGCGGGCGCCTCCATGACCCGGACGGAGCTGAGCGCCAGGCCGCCGCCACCGCGCCCCGCCTCCAGGAGCCTCCCGCCACTACGCAGCTGCTGATTGGCTCCCGGCTGGCGCCACAAGATGGCGGCGCCCAGCTGGGAAGGACCCCGTCTCCCCGGCAACCGGGCGGAACCCAGCTAGAAAGGCCCCCCGTCTCCACGGCAACCGGGCTGTCCTAAGGGCGCCTGACTGCAAACCTCCCAGTCTCCAGGGTAACCGGGCTGCCCCCTAGGCGCCTGACTGGAAACCTCAGAATTCTGTCTGTGCTGCTTCTCGCACGGCTTTGTTCCTGATCATCACACTTCGCTTTATTCCTGCAACAACAGCCCTTGCTTAATTAACTCCCTGCTCTCTGGCATTTTTGCTCCATGATATTAAAAAAATTTAGCTTAGACTAAATCAAACTTTGTGCTTGCTCCCAGGGGAAGCTAAAATTGGTGAACCCAACCTGGGGATGTGGCTCAGACAGAGGTAGAGCACTTACCTGGCATAGGAAGCCCTGGGTTCCATCCCCAGCACAGATTTAAAGAAAAGAAAAAAAAAAAAGAACTTATGCAGAAACCAAGATTGTCTTAAAATTGTCTCAAAGTATCTCCCCACAATGTTTAGAAATTACTAAGGGGTCAGGTGGGAATAGTAAGTTTACACTCACCTGAAGGATCCTGGCTGGCACCACCGTGATTCAAGGTTGACATCACTCCAGGCATCAGATGTGGTGACGCTTTGTTCCTAATGATATGATTCATTCAGAGAAGGACATGAAGCCAGGCGTGGTGATGCACACCTGTAATCTCAGCAACTAGGGAGGCTGTGGCAGGAGGATCGTCAAGTTGGAGGCCAGCCTCAGCAACTGAGGAAGGCCCTGTTTTAAACTTAAAAAAAAAATGTGGGGGGGGATGTAGCTTAGTGGTAAAATGACCCGTACCAAAGAGAGAGAGAAAGGTACGTCACTTCTGATAAGCCATAACTGAGAGAGAGTCCCCAAAATAAAAGAATTAATCTATTTTCATTGTTATTCCTTGTAGATTGCCTGAACACCCTTTTTTAATGAGAAAGAGGTACAGCAAGGGTTGTTTTCTTCCACTGTGTCTGGGGTGATCTAAGGACTCAGTAAAAGTAGAGAAGATCAAGTCCGTATAACTCCTAGTCTGCACATTAGTGTGTCATTGAAACCCCACATTTCCCCCCCTGTTATGGAAAGTTAGTGCTCACTGGCACTAAAACAAAATCAAATACTAAGCCCATCCATGGCCTATAGAAAAATGTCCACAACAATACTTCGTACCCCAAATGCATATTCTAATCTACTGTAATCAAAGCTCTTTGGGTAGCAAGTAACAGAAACCCAACTTAAATTAGGCATAGAAATATGTAGTATAAACTGGTATTATAAAAATTGAAAAAAAAAATGGATTAAACAAGAGGAATGTTTCTTTATCATGCAAAATCTTAGGAACCTTCAACATTTTTTTAGAGTCTTGCTAAATTGTGGAGGACGGCCTCAAACTTGAGATCCTCCTGCCTCAGCCTCCCAAACTGCTGGAGGTATATGTATGCATAAGTCACCACACCCAGCTGGATCTGTTTTCGTGTTTTTGGTACCAAGAATTGAACCCAGGGTTCTGAACCACTGAGCCACATCCCCAGCCCTTTTGATGTTTTATTTAGAGACAGGGTCTTGCTGAGTTGCTGAGGGCCTCACTAAGTTGCTGAGGCTGGCTTTGAACTTGCGAACTTTCTGTCGTCTCCCCCCCTGGTACTCTCTAAGGCCCAGTTTCCTTCTTTCCACCCCCTTCTCTTGCCTCTCCCAGAGGCTTGGATCACCACCGATCCCAAGGAGGCTGCCAGAATAATGATCAGTCCAATTCTTTTCAACCTCCAGAATCCAAATCAGAGAGTCAATGTGTAGCAGTTCAGCCCAAAATTGTCCTCCTCCAAAACCCACATTGCACCGTAACCTGAAAACCTATTCAATTCTGGCAGACTAGATATTGCTCTGGCAGACTAGATAGGGCAAGTAGAAAGTCCTTTCTTGTATTTATTTCTTTATTTTTCTTTATTTTTAATGTGGTGCTGAGGATCGAACCCAGTGCCTCAACACATGCTAATCCAGCGCTTTGCCACCGATCAACCAGGTGAAAGACTTCTTAACAAGTTTGGAACTCCAGCTCTGCATCTCTAGGCAAACTAAAAAGTTTCTTCTCAGCAAAAGAAACAATCTGTGAGGTGAATAGAGAGCCCACATCCTGGGAGTAAATTTTTACCCCTCACACATCAGATAGAGCACTAATCTCTAGGGTATATAAAGAACTCAAAAAGTTAAACACACACACACACACACACAAAATAAGCCAATCAACAAATGGGCTAAGAACCTGAGCAGACACTTCTCAGAAGAGGATGTACAATCAATCAACAAACATATGAAAAAATGTTCATCATCTCTAGTAATTAGAGAAATGCAAATCAAAACCACTATAAGATTTCATCTCACTCCAGTCAGAATGGCAGCTATTATGAAGACAAACCACAATAAGTGCTGGTGAGGATGTGGGGGGGAAAGGCACACTCACACACTGCTGGTGGGATTGCAAATTGGTGCAGCCAATATGGAAAGCAGTAAGGAGATTCCTTGGAAATCTGGGAATGGAACCACCATTTGACCCAGCTATCCTTCTCTTTGGTCTATACCCAAAGGACTTAAAAACAGCACACTACAGGGACACAGCCACATCAGTGTTTATAGCAGCACAATTCACAATAGCTAAACTGTGGAGCCAGCCTAGATGCCCTTCAGTGGATGAATGGATTAAAAAATGTGGCATGTATACACAATGGAATTTTACTCAACACTAAAAGAGAATAAAATCATGGCATTTGCAGGTAAATGGATGGCGTTGGAGAAGATAATGCCAAGTGGAGTTAGCCAATCTAAAAAAATAAAATGTGGAATGTTTTCTCTGATATAAGGTGACTGACCCATAATGGGGTAGGGAGGGGGAGCATGGGAGGAATAGAGGAACTCTAGATAAAGGCAGAGAGGTGGGAGGGGAAGGGAGGGGGCAGGGGGTTATTAATGACGGTGGAATGTGATGATCATTATTATCCAAAGTCCGGATAGGAAGACATGCATTGGTGTGAGCATACTTTATATACAGAGATATGAAAAATTGTGTTCTATATGTTTAATAAGAATTATAATGCACTGCATTTTTATGCATTTTTAAAATAAGATCATGCATTTTATTATTTTTTAAAAGTATTTTTTAGTTGTCAATGGACCTTTATTTTATTTATATTTATGTGGTGCTGAGAATGGAACCCAGTGTCTCACACATGCTAGGCAAGCACTCTACCACTGACCCCCAGTCCCTAAATTATGAATTTTTTAAAAAATAAAATTTATTTAAATTAAATATTATTTAAAAAAAAAAAACATTTGGAAGCTCATCTCTAGGCCCACTGGCCCCGCCCTCAGCCAGGCCCCGCCCTCAGCCAGGCCCCGCCCTCAACGTTAGACCCCCAAGCCCTGCAAAAAAACAAGTTTGGAAGCCCAGCTCTGCATCTCTAGGCCCGCTAGCCCCGCCCCAGGCCCCGCCCACAGCCAGGCCCCGACCGTGCCCAATGCGCAAGCTCAGACCTCGCCACCCTGCCCGATACGCATGCTCAGACCCTCCCCCTGCCCACCGCGCAAGCTCAGACCCCGCCCCAGGCAACTAACCCAACCCCGCCCCTTGGACGGCCTTCACCGCCGACCCGGAAGCAGAAGCCCCACGGGGTCAAAGACAGAGCCATTGCGGCAGCACGGCCGCCAGAGAGCGCTGGAGTCGCTGCGTTGGCTCGTCCCTCCCTGGGGACGTCAGCAGGGGGCTCCGGAAGTGGCGGCGTTCGCCGTCCATCATGACTGCCTCAGGTCGGGCTGCGCGAGACCCCGAGGGGGGGGGGTCTTCGTTTCTTCGTTTCCGGGAAGCGCGGTGACCCGGGCGCGGCGCGGGAGTCGGGTCCCAGCGCGGCGCCGCGGCGTCCCCGGGCGCTTCCCGGCGGGCGCGCGGCCCACGCGGCAAGATGGCGGCCGCCTGCGGCCGGGGAGGCGGCGCTCGGGGGCTCCGCCCGCGCTGGTGGGGCCGGGCCGCGCCGCGCCGCGGTGGGTTGGCCTTGGTGGCTCGTCGCGCCCCGTCGCGGGGCGTCTGGCTGCGTCCCCTCTCAGCTACCAGAGCCGCGGACAGCAGGGGACCTCTGTGGGCGCGGCCTGGCTTCCGGTTCTCCCGCCACGACACCAGGACGCGGAGGGGGACTTTCCCCGGGGACATCTGCGACTCCCTGCGTTTAAAGCGGGGACGTACCGATGGGGACGTGGGACGTGGAAGATGTCACGCCCCGACGCGGTGTGGCCCCGGGGGAGGAACGAGGGGAGGGCGGTGCGCGGGTCCCCTCCTAGGGACACGGCGGCCCGGGGAGGCCATCGCCATCAGGTGCTGACCACGGACCCCAGCCCCTCGGCCTGGCGCAGTCGGGAGCGCCAAGTGCCGTGCTGCTTGCTGTCACCTCTCAGTGCCACCTGTCCACGCCTAACCCCCCCCCCCTCGGGCCGGTGGCTCGTTTCTCCACCAGGAAAATGGGTCCATCCGAGGCGTCCCTCGGTTCCCGAATAAAAGCTGTGCTGACCTGTGAGGGTTGTCCCTCGGCGGGTCCCTTGGTGCCCACGGGAACAGCTCCAAGGCTTACAGGACAGCGTAGCGCAGGGAGCTGGGCACAGAAGATGCTGTCATTTATTTGCTCCTGGAGCTGGAACCCACGGCGGCTTGACCACTGGGCCACCTCCCCAGGCCTCTGTTTTTTTGTTGTTGTTGTTGTTGTTCTTGTTTTTTTTTGACTTTTGATAAATTGCTGAGGCTGGCCTCCAGCTTGGGATCCTCCTGCCTCAGCCTCCCAAGTCGCTGGGATTCGGGCATGCGCCATTGCGCCCTGATCGTTCATGTTATTAAACAGTAAGACCCACATAGGGCTGGGGCTCAGTGGTGGAGCG